CTTCAATTTAGGGTGAAGTAAACCCCTGTGTCATGTACATCCATGTCTTATCTGCCTCTGGGGGAGGGTTGGGGAGGGGAAGGCAAGCTGCCAGCGGGTGGAGAGGTCCCTGGGCTGCAGGAGGGCTGGTGCTTCCCTCCACAGCAGCAGTGGCCCCACCCCAGGCAGCACCCACCTGCAGACACCTGGCTTGGGTGGTCCCCAGGGCCACCACAGCCACAGAGGGAAAGACCAGGTCCCCGCGCAGCTCTTTCAGGCAGGCAGGCTCCAGGGGAAAAAAAGGATCAGGCTCACCACTTTTTTTTTTTTTTTTTTTACTTGGGCTGCTGCCAGGCTGCCTGCACAGGCTGCCTGCACAGGCTGCCTGCACAGTCTCTGAGCCACACTGAGCACAGTGCTTTGCTCCGCGGCTGTAGGGTAGCAAACTAAAAGTCTTCGGTGGTGTTTTAGTTTGCTGTACCCCAAAGACATTTAAGGCGCATTACACTGCCAAATGTGCTACAGTGGCTGGAATTAATGTGCAATATGCTGCCGACTCATGTGAACACCAGCACCATTAAAGCAGTGCAAAAGCATTTAACCCACTTCAAAGTGTCATGCACACATGCCTCTCGTTTGTTCTACACACGCCCATAACTACTGAACTAACATTCTTCTCTTGAGAAGTTAGCGATTTGCAAAACTTATTGACAGAGGTTGTTGTATTTATGATTGCTCTGTCTTAGCCCACTGTCTTCGCAGTTGGATTTACTGTGTCAGTGCCAGGGAAATGAGTCACAAAAGAAGAAAGAGCAGGAACTGGATTAAATTATGGAGAATAATTGTCCATGTGACACCTCTTGTTTCCACGTTACACTTTTCCTGTGTCCACGTGACAAAAATTGCCAGTAAGCTAGCTAAATCGCATCTGTGTATCCATATTATCAGCTGAACATACATGAAAACAGAGAAGGATACTGTTGGATTGGATGATGGATAATGCTGTGTGCAAGTAAGCCATAGAAACATTACATATACAGCCAGTTTGAAGAGCTGGATAATTTTAGCAGTCATTCCCATGTGCAAGGCATGGAGAGAGGGAGCCACTGGAGTTACCAATGGAAAATATAAAATTTTAGAATTTTGTTTAAATGGTGACATCTTTGCAAGGTAGATTCATGTGTATGTCATAGGTGCAAACACACTAAATAGACACTATAGAAGTTCACTGTAGGAGGACGTCTCAAACTTTCCAAGGCACGTGAATTTTTTCTAACTTACTTTTTCATGTAGGGCTAAATGCTCCTTCTAAATGTTGACTTGAATAATAGGGTGTCAAAATACTATGATTGCTAGAGTAGGTGGCCAGAATCACTTACTGCAAATGGATTGGTGCTCCCCCTCAGTCACAGTCCACTAGGCCGGCTCCCTAGTGGGTAGAGCTGGGCCTGGAGGTTGGGGTTGCAGTGGTAAGTGTCAGAAGCCACAAGTCAGGACCCAAACTGTCAAGCCAGAGTCAGAAACCTGGTT